CCCGATTACCTGAAGTACGACTATGAAGATACCTTACTCCTTTTTTAGCAATTATTTTTTCAGGGCGATAATCAAACTGCATACCAGTTTCGTCCATATTCCAAATGTTTTGTGGTTTATTATTTAAGTTGTTTTCCATTAATACATTTTTGAGAACAGAAAAATATTTTGAAACTTTAGAAGCATTCATACATTGATGTCTAATAGCAGCTGTTCCTTCTGGTTGACGTAAAGTAAAGTGCTTGTGCCTTTTGCACATTCCACGCCACCATTTTTCAGAAGGTGTTCCATTCTTAAATGATTTTTTATGTTTTAAAGCAAAGTTTTCTGCATATTTAAAAAATTGAGATCAACCGAATCCTATTCCTTAAGATGCACGATTGCATGCAAAATCTACTATTTTATTTTCTTCTTCTGCAGTTAGAGTAGTTGGATGTTCAGGTTTGGCTCCAATTACCCTAAATCGAAATTTCCGAAAAATAAAGTTTTCTCTACGGTCCGAATTAAATGTAACTTTGAGACCATAACAAAATAACAAGGAAAAACATACTTCATAAAAACAAGTCGAATACCGCTAGTTTATAAGAATCGCTCTTATGCTTATATGTATATGCATATGAATTCTTTAATGAAAAATTCAATCACACATGATAAAAACATATAGATAACATACATATGTAGATAACAAAAAATGTTTTTGAACATGTATTTATAGAAATAAAAGAAAAAGAGAGACATTAGTATTTTTGATAACATAAAAATAGTATATTTTGGGAGCTTTAAAGTTCGTTTAAATAATTTTATCTGCAGCTGATTTTTTTTTTTTTTTTGAATAACATATGCATATTAGGATTTAATAAAATCATATCGATCAAGTCCATGCATGTCATGCATGCAAGTCCATGCATGTCATGCATGCAAGTCTAACCTAACCTAAGTTTAAGTTAGTTCGAACCTAAGTTTAAGAAAAAAGTCCATGCATGCGAACCTAAGTTTAAGGAAAAAGTCCATGCATGCGAACCTAAGTTTAAGGAAAAAGTCCATGCATGCGAACCTAAGTTTAAGGAAAAAGTCCATGCATGCGAACCTAAGTTTAAGGAAAAAGTCCATGCATGCGAACCTAAGTTTAAGGAAAAAGTCCATGCATGCGAACCTAAGTTTAAGGAAAAAGTTGAAATCAAAGAGAAAACTTTTATTTTATGCTAGTTTCAAACATAAATAACTCGTGCAAATATACAATAATAAAAAATTATTATTATAACTATATATATATTTCGTCGCTATGAGTAATTACAATACTAAAGAACATGAAAAAAAAAAAATATGACCGGGGCAAATAGAAGACTGTAGTTGTCTTATCACTAAGCCCCGTAATAAATACACCGTAAGTTACAATGCTTATAAAAACTGTAATAATGAAAGTTACATATCTTTTAAATATTATTCATCATAATTATGGATCTGAATAAATAATCTTAGTAATAAACAATTATTAAAATTAAATTGTTAAACATAATTGTTATGCTGGAAATTATTAATAATAGCACTCTCATTTAAACGCTTTAGAAAAAATTTAGCTTATTGTCGTTTAGTAAAAGATTTTGCTTAAATTTAGTTTTAAATTGATTAAGTGAAGAAAGTGTTTTAAGATCATTATTTAAAAGTGTATTCCATAATTTAGGACTTCGGTTTGTGATTGAGTATTTAGTGGCAGAATAATAGGTTTTGGATTGAGTATAGTTATTATTTGAAAATCTTGTGCTGTATATATGATTTATTTTTTTAAATAAAGAGTTGAATAAATGTGGTGCCATTTTATTTATCAAGTTTAAACATAAAAACATTTAGAACATTAAGTTTGCTAAAAAGAAGCGATTTTCATTTTTAATAATCCTAATGGCATGTTTTTGTTTGCAGAGAAGTTTACTTAGTAACATTGGTGCTGCACCGAGCAATGTTAGCATAGTTTAGGTAACAGTGTATAAATGAATAGTATATGTATTTAAGACAAGATTGGTTTAAGAACTATTTAGCTTTATACAATATTCCAAATTTCAAATTATTTCAAATTAAACTCTATACTATAAATTTATTTTACTAAAAAAATCTATACATATGTGCATATAGTTTTAAAAAAAATATTGTATTTTTGCAAAAAAATATTTATCGATTTTTAATGGCCCTTGGATACGGTTATATAGTTTCATTTATAGATAAAAATCCTCCATATCCACCAGGAAACAAAAGCACATCTCTTATATTTAGTGGTGTTCTGATAGCTAACTTTGTGTATACAAAAATTACCAATATCACAAAAAAGACGCTCTACTATAGAAGAAATAAACATTTTTGGGTGGTAAAGATGGTTCGGCATCCCCTCATTTCATTAATAAAAAAAATTATTTTTATTGGCCTGTGTAATCAAGTTTTGCTGAATTTATAAAACTGATGTAAATCGTTTCTAAAAAATAATTTAAAATTTTTTCCATTGAGTTTTTGAACAACTAAAACAGTCTTAAACAAAGATATTTTTTAAATGCCTTGTAACTGTCTTAAACAAAGATATTTTGTAAATGTATTTTAATTTGGTTGTTGTTAAAAACATAAAAACCTATGTCGCCAAATAACTTCTGGATGTTTCACTACAAAATAGGCATTGCAAAATCTACCTTCACACACCTGTAATGTATATCAGTATGTATAACACCAATAAAGAACCGCCGACTCAAGGCGGTGAGGCGTGCGCTTTTTGCAAGGTTTTTAAAAGCTTGATTATAGCGCAAAAATTGCACGCCTCACTGCCTTGCGGCAGCGCTAAACATTGGGAAAAATAAAATTTTGTAATTTTTTTGTAAGTTTTAAAAGTTAAAATTAGAAAAAAAATTTAGAATTAAAAAAAAAAAAATTTCAAAGTAAAAGTTAATCAAGTAAAACTGTTAATGAGTGAAATTTAGTACAAGTAAACAAATGCATCAAAGGCTTTAGCCAAATCAATAAAAATACCCAATGTAAATTGATTTTTTTAAAATGAATTAGAAATATTTCTAGTAAACTGCATGTTCAGTAGAGTTAGTCGGAATCCATATTGATTACTTTATAATAAACTGTTAAGTAAGATGATTATAAATTTTGCTGTAAAAAATTATTTTTAAAACTAATGTTTAGTTACTAATGTTTTCAATGTCATTACCTTTTCATATTGGTATTACTTTTGCTAATTTTAAAAGCTTGTGGAAAAATTCCCTGTTTAACTGAAATTGTACAAATCTTAAAGAGTAATTTTTTAAATCTTAAAGAGTCTTTTAAAGCATCAAACATAACATAACACCATAACACTATCCTTTTGCTTTGTTACACCTTAACATTTTAAAGGCGTTTTCAAACTCCTCAAAAGATAATTCGAAAGAGTCTAGGTAAGAGTTTATTGGGAAACTTAGGTCTTTTATTAAAGTGTTAGATTTAGGAATTAGTTTGGCAAGATTTGGTCCTACAGACACAAAGTATTTATTAAATTCTTCAGTAATCTCTCATTTATCATATAAAAAATCATTATTAAGTTTAACTGTATTAGGCAGAGACTGTAACGTGAACTTTTTCTGCCAGTAACTCTTCTCATTATAAACCAAGTGCGTTTTGAATTTAATTTATATTTATCAAGTAAATTTATATAATAGTTTTTTTTTTCTTCTTGAGACGATCAAAAAGATTAACGTAATTTTTATATATAACATTAATTTCCTTTGTTTTTTATATATATATTTTTTTGTTCTTTATTACAATATTTAATACGATATTTACTAATATATCAAATTAGAAAAATTACATGCAAAAGAACCGTTAAAAAATAAAGAATAAAGAACGCAGATACTCAAAGAAGACCATACAGATCTTTCGACCGAGAACCGCTGTTGAAGAAATTTGAACTTAATTTAGATTTTATAAAAAACAAAAATAAATAAATACAAATTTTAAACTTTTCTTTAGTTATGGTCTTTATGGCGTAAATTAAAATACTAATTCTTCTGAATCGCATGACTCAAGAGAAAACAATAATACCATTATATTCTTGATAAACGAATACGTCTCGCATCTTACTCGCATCTATACGATCACTGAATCTTGTTACTCAAATGTATCTTACAACTACACTAATCTTAATTGTTAATTAATTAATAAATAAGTGAAAATAATAAGAATATGACTGCACTAGGTACATCTAAATGCACTTCAAGATTGTCCAAAAGATTGTGTAGAAGAATTTAGAAAGCCAAATGATGGTGTCTCTGTGTGTGAAGCCAAAATTATTAAATGTTGGTGCGTTTACGCTTACGCTTCCACCGACAAAAGTGCTAAACCACTGTCAAAGGATGGTTAACTTCCAACATACAATATTTGCAGATACATCTATTCCCATACATTTTTTTTTTTTTTAATTTTTTTAATTTTTTTTATATATAATAATATATATATATATATATTTTTATTACAAAATTAAATTCAATATTAAAAGTATATACCGTTCATAAAAGAATAATTCGTAAATATTTACAAATATTACGAACTAAAATAAAAACTAAAGTAAACAAGTAAATAATAATAAACTACTGCACAAATAATGTCAGTGCAACTTTAAAAAAAAATTCAAATAATGGTGTTTAAATATAGTTTCTCACATAAACGTTGAATCAATATTAATAAAATATTATAAAAGTATAATACAAATGAGTGACAAAACTGGGTTTAATTAAAAGTATATAAATATATTTTCAATTGAGAAAATTACTTTTTTTAATTTTCTTTCGAACATATAATAATTCCATTCATGAGAAAAACCAAATTTTTTAAAAATTATTTGATTTCATAAAAAAGTTCCACGAAAAGAAATGCAAAATTTACCAAAGTTTGTTTGAAATTTTGGTTGTTTAATAAAATTATCATTTCTTAAAGAATATTTGTTTTTTTCTTTTAAAAAATATATATCAAAAAAAGGAAGCTGGAGATGAGTTGGTTTTACATTTAAACATAAAGAAAAGAACATTATAAACATTTACTTAATATATTAAAAACATTCATGTTAAATAAGAGTGGCCTTGAGTGGAATTTTTATTACTTGGAAGTAAATATTTTTTAATTCGTGGATGAAAGAAAATCCATTTAGTTTTATCAATGTTGAGTGAAAGTTAATTTGACTTAAACCAGTCAGATATTTTTGTTAGTTCCATGTTCATATCATAAAAAAGTTTTTGATGTTCTTATTAGATAGGAATAGGTTTGTACCATAGGCAAACATTATAGTTGTTAATTTTGAGACTTCATGGAGATCGTTAACATAAATTAGAAATAATAAAGGCTCTAGTATAAATCCCTGTGAAACTCCACAACTTATATTTAGATAACCTTGTGCAGAAGATCCGTCGACATAGACAAATTGTTGGCGATGTTTTAAATAGCTTTTTAGTAGTTTTAAACCGGTGATACCATAATGTTCAAGTTTTTAAACAGTATTTCATGGTCAATTGTGTCAAAAGCCTTAGATAAGTCTATAAAGATGCCTAAAGTAAACTCTGACTTTTTGAATGAATCAGTTATACTATGAGTAAGATGAATTATTGCATGTTCAGTTGAGTTATTTCTTTTGAAACCGTATTGATTTATGTAAAGTATATTATTAACAGCAAGATGATGATATTTTTATATATTAGATATTTTAAGTATTTAATGTATAATTTTTGTTTGATTTTAGAAGACCTCCGCAAACCCTTTGTAATCCAAAGCGATTTAATACTTTTAGATTTGAGATTTAAACTAACTTCAGGGAAATTAGTATTGTAAATATCATAAAACATTTAAAAAGAGAAGTTTTAAACTCTGCATCATTAGAAGAGTTAATACTATTTCCAATGAATTAGAGATAATTGATTTTTAAAAGATTCAAGGTTATTATTTGAAAAATTGCGCTTTATAAAAACTTGTGTTTCGTTGGATAGGAAATTTGTATCAACATTTATCGAGAAGAAGATAGAAAAGTGATCAAATATGTCATTTTTAATTATCCCCTTTTTTTAAAGATTCGTTAAAAATATCCGTGGTTAAAATATTATCAATTAAAGAAGAACAAAACTAAAGAGGAAAAAACTGAGTAATTATGGTAGGTTTGTTAATCAAAGGAATTGCTCATTTTTAAAATTTGTCATAATAAAAACTTTTAATGTTAGTATTAATGTGATATGGAAAACAATTTAAATTTAGATCACCCAATAAATAGATAAACTTCTTCTTGTGGTTACTTATTTAAATAACATCATTACATAAAAGTGAATTAAAAGAATTAATTTCATCAAAGGTGGGTGATAACAACAACTTAGAAGTTGGTTGATAACAACAACTAAGAATAATTTTTTTTGTTTTATTAGTTGAAATTTCTATCGTTAAAATTCTTTATAGGCATTAGAAATGCACATATCATGTCTGGTAATATATATTAAGCTATTTCTAACATAAATAAGAACGTCTCTACCACGTTTATTTGTTTTTCGTGGTAACGAAACCAAATTGAAATCAAGCATTTCAAAATTTGTAAATAAATTTGCGTCATCCGAACTGCACCAAGTTTCTGTTAAGCAAGTTATATTAAGAATATTACAAGTTTCTTCAATAAAGTTACAAAAATTTTCTAAGTTTTTTCTTAAACTTTGTAAATGCAAAGTATATACTTCCTATAACTTCAATACGCAAGTTTGGGTCGAGAGCGGCCGCTATGGTCGCTTTCGACCCAAACTTGCGTATGAAGTTATAAACACCATTTTTCGATGAGACACCAAACATGGTGTCTCTAATCGACGCAGCAATAAGAGACACCTTGGCAACAACAATCGTAAGCAAATCATTCAACAAAAAACTACAAAAACCTCGTTGCTGAAATGTTCAAGGTGGCATTAATCTCTGCGCTCACACCGATAATTAAACTAAACAAAGAAACCGAGGCGAAACTTACTGCCCAAATTTACGATCTCAACAAGAAACTGGAAGACACGAAATACGAACTTACGCCCCGAAACTCATTGGAAACGCAACGGAAACAGACAAACTAAGAAACGAATTAATAACATTGTCGCCGCTGAAAACAAAGGCAGAGAGGATTGTTTCGCAAATGTCATTGTGGTTGGTCTATCCAAAACCGAGAACAAAAACGACAAGACAAGAGTCACGGAGTTCATCAAGATTTGTAGTCTTGATGAACTCCGTGACACGACACCTAAACACAAGTAAAAAATAAGCTATTCATAACTCTAATATTATTCAAGTCTCTCTTGCAAACGAAAGAGAGAAAATCACTCCAATTGCCATCAACTACAAAAATTTAACGGAGTTTTTGCACGAGAAGACAGGACTTCAGCTCAGCAAGTAGCGTTCAACGAAACTCGAGCTAGACTTAAAAAGAAAAACAACCAAATAATAAGAGAATAAATAACTGAAGGTTTTGACAAAAGCAAATATACTTTAGGAGTATCTATAGACTTATCTAAAGCATTCGACACAGTTGACCATTCCATTCTCTAAGAAAAAATTAAGCATTATGGTATAAATAATTCAACAAATTCCTGGATTAAAAGCTATCTTACTCATAGAAAGCAATTTGCTTATAATGTACAATCCGGAATACTAAGCGTTGTATGCAGAGTACCACAGTAATCGATTCTCGGTCCGCTCATATTCTTAATTAATATTAAAGACTTTTGTGATGCGTCATTAAAGCTGAACTCAATAATGTTTTCAGACGATACCAATCTCTTTTTCACCAATAATAATGTAAAACATTTGTATACTGATCTGAATAGGGAGTTAACTAAAGTAAACAGTTTATTTGCCCTAAATAAACTGAAAGTTTATTTAGGGAAAATTAACTCTCAGTTAATGTTGAGAAAACAAATTATACTCTATTTCATAAAAAACACAAGAACTAAACATTTCACTTAAGCTGCTCGAACTCTTCTGAAATGATAAAACAATAAAAAAACAAGTAAGCATAAAATTCTTAGGAATTCTTGTGAATAAAAATTTATCCTGGTTTCCCCATTTAATTTATATACATTCTAAAATTACCAAAACGATTGGCGTTATGTATCGACTTCGCTCATACCTCAATATGTTGAGTCTTAAATTGATATATTTTGGACTAATTCACAGTTTCATAAATTATGCAAACATATCATAGGCAAGTGCACAACCAACTAAACTTCGAAAAATTTATAGGTTACAAAAATACACTTGTCGAATAATATACTCTAAACAGAAACAAGAACATGCAAAACCACTTATGAAAGATATGAAAATGATAGATGTATTTGAAATAAATACTTATCAGCATCTAATTTTCATGTATAGATATTACAATAACCTCTCACCAGAAAACCTTAACAACAAATTTAAAATAAATATAAATCAAAATTATAATCTAAGATTAAATAGTAACATCAATTATAAATTGCCTCGGAACTGTAATAAATTCTCAGAATATTGTATATCTTATTGAGGATCTAAATTATGGAATGATTGTCAAAAGGAATATAAATTATTGGTGAAGTCCTTAAGTTAGTTTCAAACAAAAAAAGAAATTTTTTAAATGTGATTATAAAAAAAACATTTTTAGTGATTGTTTAACTATTTTAACGTTGATTTTTCTTTGTTTGACAATATTTTTTGTTTTCTGTTTGTTTATTTTTATTTAATTTTTTGACTATTTTAACGGTAACTTTATACTATTACGATATAGTATTTAAGTCCTTATAAAAGGTTTCTATGAAAAGATTGTGATAACGTAATGTTTTCCGTATCTTCTTTGAGCTTCTCTCTGCTTTAACTTTTTTATTTAATTATTATGTAATTTTCAGTTTTTATGTATTCTCTTTTATTGTATATGTAATAAACGTGTGTTGTAAAAATAATATTTATACCATTTTAAACGGAAAATAAAAAAAAATTAAAAAAAAAAACAACCGGTCAAATACGCTGTATTGATGTCACAAAGTCAATCGAGCAAAAGAAATATGTGTTCTAATCACGGGTCATTTCGTTCTGAACAACGCAATAGACGAGGCACCAATCGTGCAGCGAAAACGATACATCTGGAGCAGAGCCGACTAAGCTAAATTCTCGCCAAAATTAAGTTCAACTGATTAGAATAGCTTATTCGAAAACTATTCAGCTAACGACTGTTACAATCTATTTCTCAAAGTGTACGACAAACCCATAACAGAATTTATTCCGTCAACTACCTTGCCCTTCTTGAAGAAACGCGAACCATGGATAACAGACAAAGTTTTAAAAGCTATTAGAACAAAAAAAGAATTTTGGAATAAATATATCGCTTCTGGTTGCCAGACACATAAGGAGTTTAGAGAAATGCATAAAGAAGCATGTAGAAATGTAACCAAAACTTTGAGATTAGCCGTGTTAGATTTCAAAAAAAACCTAGTTAATTTATATAAAAACGACCTTAAAAAGTTACACGCTCAGATCAAAAACAAAACCAACTCAAAATATATATTCAACTCTATAGAAATAACTGATGGAACAATTTCAACAGATCTTCAAATTATTTGCACAACTCTGAACAATTACTTTTGGAATTGAAACCTTAAACTGACAAAAAATGTATATTAGACGAGAAAATCTTTTCACTCAACGATATCTATGTTCGACTCGCAAACTTAGACGAATCTAAATCGTTTGGTGTTGATAACGTTCACCCACGTGTACTCAAACACTGCGCAGAAGCTTTTACATTTCCTCTAATGTTAATTTTCAAGAAATCCTTCTTAACCAGCATTGAACCAGGCCTGTGGAGGAAATTCAACATCTTTTTTCAAGAAAGGAAGCAAACTGAAGTATCGAATTATAGACCGGTCAAATACGCTGTATTGATGTCACAAAGTCAATCGAGCAAAAGAAATGTGTTCTAATCACGGGTCATAAGGGTTACCTGATGGTTATATGGTAGTTTTACCCAAACCCTTACCCTAACCCTAACCCTATCCATACCATGCAAAATATTTGAAAGCATTTTACATGTTAAAATAATGCTACACTGAAACTCAAACGGTTTAATAAGCATGGCACAACACGGATTCAAAAAAAAGCTGTTTAACTAATCTTCTAGAAACTTGCAACTTCTTCACGGAAGCCGCAAACAAAAAGTATCCAGTCGATGTGATTTACACTGATTTTGCATTTGATAAAGGCCCACAGAATCGCTTATTGAGCAAATTGAAAGCATATGACATCAACGAGAACATATTCATGTAGACAAATGCTTGGCTCAACAATAGACAACAGCGTGTTGTCATTGATACTCATTTAACTCCTGAAATATATATAGATTGGAAAAAAGTCAAAATGGTGTTCCTCAAGGAAGCATCCTCGGCCCACATATGTGCGCCCACATTTGGAATTCGCTATTCAAGTATGGTCTTTTCACCTATAAAAAGATATCAATATGCTTGAAAGAGTTCAGCGCAAAGCAACTAAAGTTTCCTCTATCAAACATCTCCCATATGTATCCCATAACCCTCCCATATATGTATCCCATAACCCTGAGCAACGTTTAAATATATTTAGATTGACGACACTTGTGAAGAGAATTGCCAGATCTGATCTTAATGAACAGTATAAAATTGTGAATAAAATTGATGATGTTAATTTTTTTGTTCCTCAAATAATCTCTAGCAATGCATATTGCAGGAGAAGTCAAAATAAACAGCTACACTGCGGGAGAAGTCAAAATAAACAGCTACACGGACAAATTGTCAGCGACTAAGAAGAACGACATCATTTTTTTACTAATCTTGTCACACCTGGAATATGCTACCACAGGAAGCTATTGACACTCATATGGTAACTTATTCAAAAGTTTCTTATCATAATGGACAACTTGAATTTAAAGTATTATTAAATTTAAAAAATAAATAAATAAATTGTTCTTGATTGTGAATTTATTGATTCTAAAAATCAAGTTCAAGAAATTCATATTAATGTGAATTGCATTAATTTTATTTTGGTCAAGAAATCCTTTAATTTGTATAAAAGTAGTTGCATGTATTTTACAAAGCATTAGATTCAGAAAAATAATTTCGATCAGGGTCAGGTTCATTATCTAGTAAAAAATCATTATTTTGAAAAAAGTTATAAAAACTAGACTCATAAATCATGGTTTCGGTAGAATCCATTTTAATTTTGTTATAGTGATAAACCAATGAGATTAAAGAATTTCTTTTATAACTTACACGTGATTAATTTATTATATACGACCTTAGTGTACTTACCGTTCGCTCTCAATTCTTTTGCTTCGATAATGAGTTTTTTTTGCAATTCCAGCGTTTTTTCACTATAATCTTCGTTTATGTAAACCTTTTCAGTCCATAATTTCATTGTAGTGTATTTTCTAAACATCGTAGATTTGTCTTTATAATTTAGAAATTATAAACACAAGAAATTATAATTAAATATTATTTAATTCAATATATATATTCTAAAATAAGTTGTAAAATTTCAAGGACTTTTACAAATAGTACAAGTACAAATCTAAAGTAAAAACCTGCAACATTACAATAAAAGTGATCATAATAACAATAATAATAATAACAATAATAATAGTATTGATAATAATTATAGAAATAATATTAACAATAATAATAAGATGCCGATGAAGAGGAATAATGAATGGCGACGATTGACATGATTATTTTATTATCATCCAGTAATTTCTTCCCAACTCGGTGGGCTTTTTCGATTTCAAAATTTCCTTTTAAATGAAGTTTTTATCTGGAAATTCCCTTAGTTTCCTTTTACTGTCTTTTCAACTTTCATTTACGTCTTCTACAATCCCAATAAATCTCAAGTTGTTTCGCCGACTTTTATTTTGTTTTCATTTTCATTTTCCATATTGTTTTCATTTTCATTTTCAGTTAATATTTTAGGTGCTTGATGATCAGCAACTAATTTATCATAACTACTACTAATAAATTATCATAATTACAACTAATAAATTCAAAAGGTTTTTTAAGTTATGATAGCGTCGTCTGAATTCTTCACATAAACTTCTGATTTAAATGTTTTTCTTGTATGATTCTTAAGATTCTTCTTCAGCTATGAATGGCTTCATGTTTTTTTGTAGTTCTTGCCACTTTTCTTCTTATTCTGTATTTACAATTAATTTCATCAAGACTGTCTGTCAAATCAATCCAGATCAATAAAGGTGTGTCCATAACACACTGTTGAAAAAAAGACTTAATGTCCATCTTGTCATGTGTATTCAACAAAATGTTTGAGATGTTTTTTATGATAATTTTTAATCAAAACTTGTTTTTAATGATAACATTGATCCAATACTTCTTAAAGTCTGTCAATAACGTTGTAATCATGCATGATTACACAGCTAACCATATTTGGCACCCTTGCACCCTTTAGCCTGAATGTCAGACTCAAAAATACTCGTCGCACTTGTTATTATGATATATTTATTATGACTCAAAGGTCAATGCATTGGCATTCAAAACAAGCCAAATAATTCTCCAGCTGTACTCACTATAAGCTATTTACTTACTTTTGATATTGTTAAGTTCAAGCAATCAGAATAATATAACTCTTCTGTTGATTGCACTAGACAAATTCAATCCCTAAATAATTCAATTACCCTTTTAATGTTTGTTCAAAAAAACAATAAACTATTCATAACCTATTTTATCACGCGAATGTAAATGCATTTAGCTTCATTAAGTTCAAATTTGGTAATAAGTCTAATTTATATATTTATATACTTATTCATGATAGTTAAATATAAAATTATATATAAATATTAAAATATACTTATTTTATGATAGTGCTTACATTGTTAAAAATATCAAAATTAATTTATTACAATGTAAATAATTTATCTTTCCATCATTTACATTTAATATAAAAAATGACGTCATTTTATTGTCTTGCGGGTTATATTACTAGAAAAGAATTTTATCTTCTACATTATAAAGATGACATTTTTTAAAAGATCAAAATGATAAATACGCACAGGTCTAACAAAAATATATTGATATATAAATATTTTTTGTGCCCCTGAAACGTAACAACTTATCCATATTTAGAACTTGGCAAATAAAATCTTGTTTTATAAAAGCAAACGATATTAACGATATAAACGATATTTAAACGATATTTAAACGATATTAACTTAAAGCGACAATGATTTATTTTGCAGATTATACATTGGTTGTCAAACATTTTTTTAGTAAACATTTTTTTTAAACATTTAAACTAGTAAACACTTTTTTTAACTTTGTAAACACATTTTGAGCATGAAAGCCAGTCATACCCAATCATATATTAAGCTCTTCGTTTTGAAGCTGTCTGATTTAGAATGTGATGTCCTTAAGCTCAAAAAAAAAGAGTGACATTCACCTTATTTTACATTCATATCAAGCTGCAAAGATTACAAGATTATTAAAATACGTACAGTAGATACAGATGTTCTTTTTTTAGCAATATCCGTTTGGCAAAAAATGTCAAGCAATCAGTTGTGGGTTGCATTTGAACTAGCAAGCATTTCCGTAACATAACAGTGCAAGAATAGGGAACAGTCTTAGACCATTAAAATTAAAAGCTTTACCAGCTTTCCGTGGATTTATTGGTAACGATACAACCTCAGTTTTTGGCACTTTTTAAAGCTCGTAATCTAATGACAGAGAAAGCAATGATGTTGAAAAAAAAATTTGTATTACCAAACGGTTTTGTAAACAAATGTAAATACTGCTTAGAAGTAGTTTGTTACTCAAAAAAATTCTGGCAGATTAGCAACATTCCACTCAAACGTGATGCAGTAATGCAGCATGTGAAGCAGACAGCGTATTAGAAGTATGTTTAAAGTCAAACGTTGATAGTATCTTTACCAAGCCTAAAGTGACTAGGGTTAAAGCTAGAAGGAAGTGATGTTATAGTTTGTACAGATATGGTGCAGTGATTAGAGCGATTGTATTAGAAGTAAAAGATCCAGGGTTCAAAGCAAGCTCTGGGAATATTGGGCGCCATAGGTAAGGAAGAAGGCACAAGTTTTCTAGATAAATGCTCTTCTGCGGTTTTCTGTGGCAAGGTCGTTTGGTTTTTTTTGGGGTACCTAAAAAAAATCCTATATTGATGACGCTTCTTGAGACTGATAAATACTGTCCTAAGTTATTTTGGAGCGGATGTCAGACAAGTTGTACAACATGCCGCTGTTAATGTTCTTTCCAGCTGTGAAAAAGAGTGTTCCAATAATTAAAATGCTGCAATATTTTATAAAAATTTTTTTTATATTTATTTTAAGTTGTTTTAACTTATTTGCTGCTGAAAATGTGCTATTCAGATTGTTAAAAATAGTTAAAAAAAAGTTACTCCGCCAAAGCTGGTTCACAGTACAGTTTTAAAAAGAGGATGGCTGTTATTCATTTACAAATTCTATATTACACGATAACAAGTTTTTTAAGTCGAATATAAACATATAAAATGTGCTTTTGTTTTTTTACCAGAGAAAAGTTTTATAATCTAAAATGGACTGTGGCAGTCACTGATATAGTAGTATAATATTGTGATTTTTGCTATCAGGTCATTTCCTTTATTACAGTTAATACATAATTAATATGAGTTACTTTCCCTGAGATTTTAGTGAGACCTATATGAATAATGAAAATTAATTGAACGGTTTTAAAGTTATTAAGATTTTGATGAATCCGAAATAGCGGTAACCAGCATTTTGGATTTCATGTTCGCTTTGCCCCATATCGCAAAATGATCAGTATTATTTTCTATTGGTAAAAATTTCTTGCTTTTATCCACTTCTGCACAAATTCAGTCGAAAATTATAAAAAAACAAAGTGATAAAACAGACAACTAAAAATGTTAATTGATATTTTTTTTGAAAGAAAATATTATTGCGTGATAAATTTTTTATACTCAGTAATGTATATAATTTAAAATGTAGCGAAGCGCACAATTAAAATAATACTTAAAAAGTAAAAACACAGTCGTGGAATTTCGTTACTTTCCACCTTTTCTTATAACTTTACATAATATAATTATGGCGATTGCATCATGGACACTATAGAAACATAACTATAATGGGACATCATAATTATGTTTCTAGAGTGACATCAGAGGGACATCAGAGACACTCTAGAAACATAAATCTGTTTCTAGAGTCATGATGCAATCATCATAATTAATAATGATGATTGCATCAGAAATACTCTAGAAACATGATTATGCTTCTAGAGTGTCCATGATGCAATCATCATGACTAATTTGATGATTGTACCTGGGACAGTCTAGAATCCTCATTATGATGGGTGCATCAGAGACAATCTAGAAACATAGTTATAATGATTGCATCTGGGGCAGTCTAGAAACATAATTATGATGGTTCCATCAGGAACACTTAATAATATAGTTATGATGATTGCATCAGGGACGCTCTAGAAACATAACATTGTGAGCAAAAATTATTTCAACCAAACGAATTCAACTACATAATTGCTGATTAAAAAAAACGTTTGACAAATATAAAGGGTATAAATAACAAGATATTAGTGGGTATTTTCATTACTTTTAAAGATATTAGTGGGTATTTTCATTACTTTTTGTCTGTATTTACAAGTAAGGGTCCACTCTTTTTTTCAAGTAAGAGTCCACTCTTTTGTTTTTAGAACAAAATGTAACCTGGAGGGGACATATAGGTGAAGTTGAAAATAAAATATCAAAAAATTTAGGTATAATGTACAAAGCTAAGCAATTATTAAATCAATCTTGTTTAAAAAACATTTACTTTTCTTTTATTCATTGCTACTTAAGCGAACATTGCTTAGTGTAGCACTAACGCGACGAAAATAAAAAATTGCTTAGCAAACAAATACAGGATATAAGGATAGTTTTAAACGTAGATCGTTTCTCACACACAAAAACACTATTTAATGAACTCAGCATCCTAACTGTATATAAACTAAACCTCTATCATGTTCTTATTTTCATGTTCAAACTTGACAAAAATATATTACCAATCTTTTTCATTCAATTTTTTGAAAAAATAAATCACATATACCCAACTAGATTTTCAAAATACAACTACATTTCAAAATACAACTACATTATTCAATCCAAAACTTACTATTCCGCTACTAAATTCTTTATTTTAAACCGAGGACCAAAGTTGTGGAGCATAATATTAAATAATGAACTAAAAACTAGTTATTCTCTAAACCAATTCAAAACAAAACATAAGCAATTACTTTCGTTAACTGAAAATAAATGAAATTTTTTCTAATAAAGCTTCTTTAAATTAGAAATCAATAATTAATAGTTAATTAATTAATTACTTTAGATTATTTACTATAGAATTAGATTAATTATTATAGAATATTAGATTAATTACTATAGAATATTAATACATAACTAATCAACATATGTACATATATTTTTATTATTTTAAATAATAATTTTCTTTTTGAGAAATTTATTTTTTATTTTTGCGTTATTTACTAATCTTTTACTTTTATTTTTTACTGTTTATTTGTTTTTACTTTATTGGCAATGTAAAAGTATTATAAATATAGTTAAATAAGTTTAACTATAAACTGCTCTAACAATAAAATGAGTTTTATATAAAATCAAATCTTATTTTTCAAACCAATTCTTAAATGTTGTTTTTGTCATTTTAATATTTTTATTAAATTTTGTTTCTTTTATTACAAAAAAAAAACAAAAACAATTTGTCTTCTTCTAGCCACGGCTTCTATATATTAAAAGCCACCTTTAATAAAAATTTATTTTTATAATATGTAAAAATTTTAATAAATGTTATAAAAAATATTAAAGGGGTCCCTAATATATCGAGGATTTTTCTTACGTAATATATGGATATCAGTTTTTGAAATAATTGAAATAGTAGACCAAATTACTAAAGGATTTGAAAATAATAGCTTCACTTTAGGATTATTTATTGACCTATCAAAAGCATTTGATACGGTTGATCACCTAATTCTTTTGGAAAAAATAAAACCTATGATTGGTTAAAAAGCTACCTCACTGAGAAAAAACAATATGTTACCAGGTCAACTTAATATTTTGTGTGGAGTTCCGCAAGAGTCAATTCTTGGTCCATTGCTTTTCTTGATTTATGTAAATGATTTTAATAATGCATCAGCTAAGCTTAACTCAATAATGTTTGCTGACGACACAAATCTCTTCCCTTCAAACTGTGACATTAATCAACTGTATTCTGACATGAACTCTGAACTAATGAATGTAGATGAATGGTTTAAGGCAAATAAACTTTCACTCAATGTAAATAAAACAAAATATACTTTATTTCATAAAAAATCACAAGATGAAAAAATTCCTTTACAATTACCTGATTTGATTTTAAATGATACACTAATTAGTAAAAATGATTCAATAACATTCTTGGGAATTCTTATTGATGAAAATTTATCATGGTTTCCCCATATTAATTATATTCAATCAAAAATTAGTAAAACAATTGGTCTAATGTACCGTATTTGTCCATGTGTAACATCAAAAAGTCTGAAATTAGTATATTTTGGCCTAATACATTGTTTCATATACTATGCCAATATCACATGGGCTAGTACTCAACCAACAAAACTTAAAAAAATATTTTCTTTACAAAAACATGCATGCAGACATATATATATATATATAAAAAAAAATACGAACATGCAAAACCATTAATGGAAGACATGAAAATGATGAATATATGTGAAATCAACATTTACCAACACCTAATTTTTATGTGTAAATGTAACAGCAGCTTGATTCCAAAAAACTTTAATGATAAATTTACAATAAATGTAAACAAAAAATATTCTCTTAGAATAAATCAATGGAATACTTATAAACTACCAAGAATTAATAGTAAGTATTCTGAATATGGAATATAATACCGTGGACCAAAACTATGGAACACTTTTCAAAAAACAAAAAATTTAAGTACTGTAAAATCATTAAATTCCTTTAAGTTTATAATAAAAAATGAAATTTTTAAATTAGATAAATAGTTTTCTTGATTTTTCGAAATGAAAAACGAATTCCATTATTCTTAGTTTTTTTACTTGTAAATTGGCTCTTATTTTGATATTTAACGTTGCCAATATATTTTAATGAATATTGATAAAACTATATGATGTTATTTACTTTCTTTATTTAATGGAAATATTTATGCAAGCTTTAACCTTTTTATTATATTGGAGATACTATTTTTTTTAACTTGTAAAGCCCACCTAGGGGCTCTATGAAAAGATTGTGATGACTTTAGTCATCCGTATCTTTTTTGAGCCCCTGCCTGTTTATTATAAATTCACTTTTTTTTGTATGTAAACGCTCCTTTGTAATTATATTTCTTATTATATAAACAGCAAATATATATTAAATAAAAAAAATAAAAAATAAAAAAAAATTTCTTGATTTTTTGTAAATGAAAAACATGCATTTTTTTTATCTTAATACGATTTTCTAAAATCAATACCTTGTTTAATCAGCCTAAAACAAGTTAGAGTTATTCTGACACATCATGGATTACTAAAACAAATTTATTTATTGTTTCAGTAATATACTTATTTTTTTATAGTGGTGAGGACGGACGGAAAATAAAGTAAAACAATAAAATTATAAAAAAGTAATATAATAATCAATAAATTTATTTTAAATCTCTCTTATTTATTAAAATTTAAAAGTTTTAGAAATAAAAGCAAATATAAAATACAAATCAAAAAAACATTGGCTGTACCCTCATATTATATTAGAGAGATAATTTTTTAAAACCCATATCGTTACTTTCTAAATAAATTAATGATGTCGTAATATTTTTCATCAGGTCGATTGCGCAATGAACTAAATGTATGCACGAGCAATGACAACCAGTTTCTTCAATAAACTCAAGCGAACTTTACTAGTTCTGTTGACATAGCATAATTATAACCATTTAGTATCTACAAATAAGTAAATATTTCCCAATGGACACAGGACGTCCATAAATGTCCATAGGACAAACCGTTTAGGTTCAAAAAAAATCCAAATTGGTACGTCTTTGGACGACTAAACAGGTACCATTTTGGACTAGGACGTTTTTTCACGTCCAAAATTGTCCAAGTACATTCTCGGGAAAACGTTAAATCCAATCCGTCAAAGTGCTGTTAGAACAGTTTAAAAAAATTCTAGACCCGATTACGGCATTTACAATGGGATATAAATGTTATCAAATTGATATTAAACGAAAATATTAATAATAACATGATTAATAATAAATATTAAATACAAATGTTATTAAATATTATTAAAAATCCTAGTGTTTCTTTTATTGTAAAGTACAACTATTTTTCCTTTGGAGATTGCATCGGTCAGTAAAATTTAGATTGCATTTTGAAGGATTGGATTTAAGCCCGTTCTCCATTCAGAACTTTTTGCGCTTTGGAGGAGCGGAAAAGTTCTTTAAGCATGCGCAAAAAGTTCTGATTGGAGAACAGGTTTAAAAAAACTGTTTGTGCATGCTCAAAGAACTTTTCCGCTTCTCCAAAGCGCAAAAAGTTCTGAATGGAGAACGGGCTTTAGTGTTTTCCGCATTATTGGATTTACTTTTACGCATGCGTGAGTATAAAATTTTTTTTTTTCGTTGGCAAACGGACATGTTTTTTTAAACTAATAAAATCAAAGTGAATAAATTCAAAATCACTCAAATAAAAGAAATTTTAGATATGCACGAGAACCTACAACTGAATTGTTTCAGCGATAAATTCGAAAAAATGGAGCAAAAAATACTTGCAGTTGAAGAAGAAAATAAAATCTTAAAACAAGAAGTTTATGAAAATCGGTGGAATTTGTTAGTGAAAAATATGAAAAAATATTTTAGTTGATGTTGCGGAATCTAAAACGAAAACAGCAACAAATAAAAATTGAAAGTAGTGAAATGAAAGATAAACTAGCTGAACTGAAAGATCGAAATCGGCAAAATAACCTCAGGTTTAATGGTCTTCCAGAGAGCGAGAACGAAAGTTGGGAAGAAAGTGAAAAAAAAATACAGGAACTTTTAAAAAATGAACTTGAATTCAAAGAAAATATAAATATTAAGAGAGTCCATAAAATGGGAAAAAAAGAAACAAGAGGTTCAAAAAAAACAGAACTATTATAGTAAAATTTTTAAATTACAAGGATAAAAAAGTGGTTATGGATAATTATTTTAAATTAAAAGTTTAGACAGATCACATTTATGTCAACAAAGATTTCAGTGAAAAAACGACGAAGATAAGATAAAAGTTGTTTTTAGAAGCAAAAGAGTTGCGAAAGAAAGGGAAATTGGCAATGATGACTTATAATAAATTAATTACGCGTTGAGATTTGATAGAAATTCTTTTATTTGTTTTTTAGTTACTAACTATAACTAAAATGGCTTCAAGTGAACTAAATTATGCAATAACTTCTCTAAATTTTTTCCAAACAAATAATTTTGTTACTGGTAAAAATTCTGACCCAGATCAAAATTATTTTAATGAGGCTCATTCTTTGCAGAGTAACTGCTCTTATTTTTCTAACAATGAAATTTCTTGTGCGCGACCAGTTAAATGTTTTGCATACTAATGTAAGAAGTATGAACAAAAATTTTGAAGCTTTTTTTAATTAATATGGAGGATATTCTCAATATTTTTAACGTAATTTGCATTGCAGAAACTTGGTGCAATTCTAATGAAGCCAGTTCTAACTCAAATTTTTTATTGCCAAGTTTCACTGTTATTTTATTAGAGCGTAAAACAAAAAAAAGGCGGTGGCAGTATTTTTATTTATATAAAAGAAAACCAGCAGTTTGTTAATAGGCTTGACTTAACCGTTTCTGATGACGATAAAGAGGTTTTAACAATTGAAATATTATCAAAAAAAAAAAATTTAAAATATACTTTTGAGTTGCTGCTATCGCCAACCAACTGGTGTAATTAAATATTTTAATACTTATTTAAATGAAGTTATTTTTAAAAAAAGTAACCACGAAAATAAATTAAACTATTTAATTGGTGATTTAAATTTGGATTGTTTGCAGTATCACGTCAAATACAACATTAAAGAGTTTTACAATGACTTATTTACAAACGGAGCGTTTCCGATAATAACATAACCGACAAGAATTATTGAATCAACGACTTTATTAATTGACGATATCATAACAAGTGATATTTTTAATCATTTTCTTAAAAAAGAAATCATTAAATGCGATATCACAGATCATTTTGT